TACTGTTGTCCCGGAGATGGGATTTATTCCTGGAAGCACAGAATGCGGAGATTTGGCTCCGGGAGGCTCTGTGGGTGCGTGTTAGGTGGGGGGGGGGGGCTATCTGAGGAGGGGGCAGGGGAACTGGGTCGTGTGCCTGTCAACGGGGCATTTAAACTGAAAGGGTGGGGCAGCTCTCAGGACCTCTAGAGGTTAAGTGACCCCCTTCCCTGTGGCTGCCACTCTTGTGAGTGAAAACGGGCGCTTTGTGATGTCAGTTCGGTTACAGGGGCCATAAAATCGAGCTAGTCAGGTGACACATGGCATTAGGAGGACAGTCCTACACACTCGGATTTGAACCAAGAGCTGGGTGGCATTTCCTGTTGGTCAGTCAATGGGTGCCTGAGCGAGACGAGGATCAAATGAAACACCCGAGGCTTTCTTGGGCCGGTTGCTGTATCCTGAGGTTCGTCCCCTTGCTGGTGTCCTTAGTATTGCCAGGGCAGCGTCTGGCAGTTCGCCCCCTACTGGACGTGCCGGTAAACTGCGCCACTGCAGATCTATGATAGAATGTGGGTCATTATATAAGCCTGTGTTCCGCATTCATTGGGCGCTGACCCAATCCATCCATCCCCACATGGGGCTGTCCCCATTACAGTAACAGAACCTTTCATTTTCCCTTAGGTCATTGGATAGATAATCGCATTAGTTTAAAACAGGGGTGGCTCTATCCTTGGGGTCTATCCTTGACCCCACACCCCTAATGATGTAGATTTGTCCTCTTTAGTGTACATATTCTTCCCTTACTTTATTCACTTTCCCATCATAGGCTAGACTCCTGAAGTTATGTGTGGCTTAGCAAGTTAGAATGTTGTGTCTTTGAGTAGAAGGTTGCTGGTTCTAATCCTGTGGCCCATAGGGTGGTTTTGGGCCCTTAACCTATACCTGCTCCAGAGACTGACCCTGCTTGCTTAAATGTATGTTTCTTCATATAAAATGGTCTGCTAAATATGTCATGAAGTTTAGTTGAATTGGTGTCTGCAAATTGTGTAACTACACTATATGACCAAAAGTCTGTGGACACCAATTTGTCCAACATTCCAAAATCAAGGATATTAATATGAATTCACTATAATACGCTCTACTCTTCTGGGAAGGTTCCTATTAGACAGTAGAACATTGCTGGTGGGATTTGCTGCCATTCAGTTTGAGTATTGGTGCTGGGTTATGAGGCCCCATTCTGTGAGCTTGTGTGGCCGAGCACTTCGCAGCTGAACTCGCTCAGAGACGTTTCCACTTCACGATCACCTCGCATGCAGTTGACCAAGGCAAAGCAGACCAGAAATTTGATGAACTGATGTCACTTTGATGGTGCTCAGTGGACAGTCACTAACGTCTCCTGTACAGTTACCCATTCCGCTGCCGATTTGTGTTGTAGGAAATTGTGTGGCTGTGTGTTTAATCTTGAGTTCCATTTACTTCGGAGGTCAGAAGGCAGACCTGGGATTGACGTCACACCCGAGTTAACTGCGTTCCAGTGCAGCAAGTCGGAAAGCCATTTTGCAATAGCAGGGACCCGTTAAAAAAAGCAAGATTTCTTGCTTTGCCAGATAACTTGTTGGATTTAATTTACCCCAGTTTAAATGGCCTTTATCTTCATTCATGTACATTTAGCCCAAACTATCTTAAATCTGACAAGTTATCAGGCTAAGCAAGAAATCCTGCTTTCTGAAAGAGACCCCAGTTCTACCCCAGTTAGCCATTGTTAGCAATATCAGTGGATAACAACACATTACACCGGTATTCTATGCATAAAAACACAGCAGCGACACGTCCACAGATAGTGGTAGGACAATACTGTGTGTACGACCAATTTAATGAGCCACAAATAAGACATAAGTGCTAATAAACAGTATAAAACTACAGCTTTAACTTCTGCTGATAAAGGGCGCAGCCATCTTGGATTCTGAGCTCGGGGTTGTGAAGATCCCTCCGACTTTCTGAGTAGGCACTCTAACTCCGGGGGCGTTTCAGTTGTAATTAGGAACTCAGAATGAAATAAATTTGAGTTAAAATGGAATGCAGTATTTTTAAACACCTGTGTCAGCAGTGGGTGTGTCCTGATGAGGCGTTTCCTGTCCACTGCCTTGTATCCTGTGCTTCAGTAAAGACTCTGGGATCATGGTGACCCTATACTGCAGTGTTCACCAATCCAGTCCCCAGGGACCCACAGTCGGTCCACGTTTTTGCTCCCTCCCAGCTCCCTGCCAGACAGCCCACATTGTGGACTGTCTGTGGGTCCCCGAAGACCAGATTGGGAAATCCTGCCGTACTGCGTAAGCAGCCGTGAAGTATAGATGGCAAGAGTGGTTCCTTCCTCTGATCCTAGGGTGGCCTTGCTGAAGAAGAGTGGGGAGGAGGACTGGAGGAACAGGATTAACAAGAAGCAGGAGGCGGTACAGGTGGCAGAGAGTGAGACACAGCTGTGGGAGCAGGAGCAGACTTTCAAGAAAAAGGTAAGCCCCACCCACCAGGCCCGCCTTCTTAAGTAACAAATAGAAGCGGATTGATTTTGAGTGGCAGCAGTCAGGAACCAATGAATGTACACCTTCTGGAGGATTGATTTGACATGGCTCCAACTCGCCACCTTGTTTTTGTTTGTAGGAGGAAGGGAGGGTGATCGATGACTTGGCAGTGTCTGATGAGTTCTGGGTAAGCCCGACACGTACGCTGATGGCACTGGTCACCCGGGGGGGGGGATCGTGACCCTGTGACACTTTTTTACAGTCATGCCCCCGCGTTTCACCCTCATCCTCAGGCTGGGGTTTGAAGTGGTCAGGCTCCTCTTCCCCTCGCGCTGGTCTTGACGCTTGAGCATAGTGTGCGCTGGTCTATCCGCTCGCTCCATTTGTGCGAGGGCCGAGTGTCCTGGCAGTAGCAGCTGTCGTTACGAGGCTATTGCATTAACAAATAAAACAGCCGATCAATGCAACAAACAATCAAAGCATGACCTTTTGATTGTGGTCTATTTGGTCCCAGTCTTCGTAGTATCTTCCAACACTGCCCCAACCCTTTTGTAATTAGTGCCCTGTCTGTCCATCTATCCCATGGGGCTGTCTGTCTGGTCCTGCCTGTAGGATCCTGTCTTTTCCACCACATACTCTCCTCCTCCTGTCCCTGCTGGGCAAATGAGCCAGCTCATTGATTCCCAGCCCCAGGTGAGCTCTTCCACGTTACCTTCCCAGGGTGTTGCCTCAGCATCCTGCCTGCCTCCTACCCCTTGTTCCTTCAGCTTCTGTCCGCTTCAATGCCATAGCGCTTTTGGAATGTCGGAGTCGCATTGGGAACTGATGCTTCTATGCAGTTGATCCATTGCACGTGCGCGTGTGTGTGTATGTGTGTGTGTGTGTGCTTGGGGTAGGTGAGAGGGAATGAATTATGCTGTCTTGTTGGGACAGCTGCAAAAATATGCAAAAAACCTGAAACACATCAAGAGACACATTTTTTTCTTTCCAAATTCATCTGCAAATATTAAAATAGCCTCCTAAAAGTTTTTCTGTTCAATGCATTTTTACGTAATTCCAAGCACAGTTTCCACAACCCGCAGAAATAGCATCATGGATAGAAATAACAGCAACTCAGGTTGCACAGTACCGATATTCTCAGAGCAAAGATGATAGGGGAAAGGAAAAAACTTGAATAGTATTTGTAGGAAAAAAATATCTCTGGGAGTCCAAGGGTAGGATAGACTACAGTCATGTGAAAAAGAAGGTTTTACGTATCAGGACATAATTTTTAAAATCCATCTGGTCCTTAGCAGGTCTTAAAAGTAGATGAACAACAACACATGACATATTATGCCGTGTCATTGTTTCTTTAACAAAAGCTAAGCTAAAATGCAGAAGCAGTGTGTAAAAAAGGAGGCAGGAGAACTAAAGCTGAAGACTTCACTACCAGCAGCTTTTTTATTTATTCACGGAATCGCTTAAGACCTTTATCTTGTTATCTGAGAACGCAGTCCGGGTTTTACACAGTAATTAGGAGCCTGATCAACAGCCCTGACCTTTCAGTGTTTTCAGAGAAGAATTATGAGGTCAGTCCTTAAATTAATGACAGGGTAATAAAGAGACAGAAAGGCAGGGCGTGTTCACGTTTACATCTGCTTGGCTGCAGTTTTGGCTGCCGGAAGCGTGTGACTCCTGCTGCCTGAATGTAGGATTTAGTGTAATCTGCTACAGAGAAAATGCACATATCTCTCTATCCTCGCAGCGAGAATTTGTTTTATTCTTGCAGTATTTCAGAGATCAAAATCAGAACAGGGCCGACGTACATTTCCATATTGTCCATTTAATTGCTTTTCGTACTGTACATTGTACACCATCAGCATCAGTTCTGCCAATGATAAGTAGGTCTGATGTATAACAATTCACGTGTTGGGGGGGTCACATGTTGGATAGAAACATTTTACCAAGTTTGTATGAAAAATGTATATAATAAAAAAAACCCAGTATTCCTCTTTTGTCCAAATTAACTGCTATGGGAGGATGAAGATTATAACTGAAGAAAATTTGGTATCAGTGAGTATTTTGAGAAGGGCTGACTAATAAAGATGGGCTATTACTGTAGCTGAGCTTATCTGTTAACCAAGGCAAGAATTCTGCAAGGCATACGGAGACTGTTTGGGAAATGTATCTTACCAGAGTTACATCCCCCTCTGTACGCCATTGCTAATGGACCTTTAGATTCTAACACTTTCTTTGAGCTTTATAACACATTGACGTCAATCTCATTGTAACTTAGACTGTTGGGGTCATTTTTCATTGGTACTAGGGCAGACAGTACTGCTAGCAAAAGAGTCATACTCATGTCAAAAAACCTGGACTGGGAGAAGTATTGCACAGGAACTGCTTAATTACTGCAATTACAAATTTAAAAATTCCTTAACTTTTGAGTCGCAAATGACAAGCTCTTCGTTGTCATCGGCAGACATTCATTTGACGCACCTCCTTCTGGCTAGTGATGTGCCAGGAATCCAATCTTTGAGCCGTTAAACCCTAGGATTCTCCTCTATTAGCTACAGGGCCTGCAGTCAGCATATCTTACAACCAAGTCAAAAGCAGCCCCATAATCCGAGCATTCGATCCAGTCCTCAGCTAGCTGAATATCTATCATAGTGCTAATGTGTCCCAACAATACAGAAAGCATATTCTTCAGCAGCGACTGTATATACCAGGACAGTCATCCATATGTCTGAGGGGGACCATCAAAGTGTTTGTATGGGAATTCAAGTATTTTTTTTTACTTATAAGAAAAGGAGACATAAAATTTTTTGAAAATCAGCTCCTTTGACAGCTTCTCTGTATTCTCCTTGTATTTTGCTGAGATTAGTGGTGGGTAATTACAGTACGCTAATCGGGGGTCCCCACGTAGACGTCTGTGTGAGCCCTGCCTGCCTGTTTGTGTGACTGATCTTCAGCGCCAACTCACACAGACCCCTGCCTTCCGCTTCGGTCATTAGCGAGTCTTGGCTGGACCGCTTCTCCTCCGCACGCGGTTCCTCTCCCTGCCTCCTTTTCCTCACTTTTCGCCTCCTCTCCTTCTCTTGCCACCTGCTGCCCCCCCCCTCCCCCTTCCTTGCCCAAAGGCCAGCCCCCCCAGTACCACAGAGCCCCCCACCAGACAGGTGGATCACCTTCACCCATGGAGACGGAAGGTGAATGTTCTGGCAGGCTTTCCACCGTGACGGTGTGGGACCAAACGCAGCTTAGCCTCGCGGTCAGACGGGGGGTGCGGCCCTACCCTACAAAGCATGACAAGGGTCATATCAACATCCCGACAACATCCGAGACATGCGGCCTCTGCATTTAACCCCTTCCATTCTGCAATCCCTGCAGGCCGGTGGTGACCACTCCCCTTTAGCCTACATTAATGGTCTGGTGAACTTAACATGCCTGTTAAGACATCACTCTGGGCTGGCAAGCAATTTACACTGAACAACCCAAGATAATGCCCGTGACTCTGGTTTTTCTAATTACACCGGTTGTGACATTTATTCTCAATTCATGCAGGCACATTAAGTCCATAAATTGAGCAGTCCGAGAAGTGGTTGGCGCGGTTCATCTCAAAGGACGATGGCATTTCTGTATATGTCTTTTCCTCGCGCCGCTTTTCTCCCAGCGCATCGGCGAGGAGATTGAAGCCGAGATGACTATCGAGGAGAGGAAACAGCTCATTAGCTCCAAGGAGGAGACATGGAAATCCACTGGTCAGGGGGCAGCCAACGACTCTTCTCAGTTCACCGTGGCTGCGCGCATGGTCAAGAAAGGTTAGGGCATAACCTCGTCTACCTCCCTCACCTCCTCCCTTCAATTTTACCCCGACCTTTACCCTACTTACTCTCTTTCATATTCCACCCCTATCATGCCCCTTCTACCCCTGATTTTGCCCCCACATCCTTTTAATCTGATCATGGATTGATCTCTGTGAGGGAACATTGAACCTCTATCAAGGAAGTATTTCTCAATCACTTTTTCTTGGTAGTGCAATTCCCAGTCAAGTGTAATTTCCACTGATCTACACGATTGGCATCAAAACTGCCAGAATTAGGGGTTAAAACTAGATATCCTGAGATTAGATGCCTCGATGCAGTTTCCATTGGCAACAAACAGTGATTGTTTACTGGCTCAAAGCATTTTCTTTCTCACTCCTCGTGATGACAACCCTAGCCTAATGGTATGATCCATTCATCCTGTACCAATGACCTCCAGAGTCTATTGAAAAGCATTGAAGGGGAAACCTTCAATTAAGGGGGCATCTGTACAACATAATGGTGCTCTGGTCCTCATTGCATTCCTAGTATGTCCTTGTCAAGAAATTCACTTCTTTTGGTGTGTTGATTTAGGAATTGTGGGGCTTTACATTCAGTGGTATAAAATGAAAAACTGATACAGTAAAATTAAACATAAAAGGGTTGAGTACTTTGATATTCCATGCATCCAACAAATAGAGAAGAGTGTGTAGTTTCCCGTTTATTGCAAGCATGATATAAGAGAGTAACAGAAGAAAAAGATAAGCCGAGATAACTGAATCCAAAACCTACTGGTTTAATGCCCAGAATTTAAGTAATTATTTAAGTGAGCGAATGTCCAGCTGTAACAAATGAACACTGCTTTATATTTTGTGGTAATGTTCAGAGTGACTTACATCACACATCTCATCCGTTGCTTAGCCAAACTGAACCTCTTGACCCTATCTGTGTGCTGTATGTATTCAGTTGTGGCTTTCAGCAGCCTGTCTGAAATGAAATGAAATGAAATGAAATGAAATGATGCTTTATTTGCCATTTGCACAAATATGTGTGCGGGTATATTGGAATGCTTCAGTTTAAGCATATCCCATCTTGGCTTAATTCACCCCTTCCTAATAAACAGATCTTTGCACTTAAATTATGAAGCCCCCCCCCCCCACACCTGTTATCCAGCAAATGCACCTTATAAACTGGCCACAGATGTATAATACAATGTTATATAATTCAGTTGGCAGAAAGTTATGTGACCTTATAGCAGGGGGGGGGCAGTCTTATCCTTAAAGGGCCGGTGTGTATGCAGGTTTTTGGGATAACCTGTAGGTCAGCTGTTCAAACCCAGGTGCGAGAACTCTTCAGCCAATCAGTCCTCTAATTAATAATCTAATTAGGGAGTTGCAGCGAAAACCCACACACACACCGGCCATTTGCGGATAAGATTGCCCATCCCTGCCCTCATCTGGCAAAGGTGACACAGGTCAGGTGATCTTGTCACCTGACAGCCTGTACAGTGAGCATGATGTCATGACTTAAGATCTCTGCCCCTTGCAGGTTTAGCGGCACCCGCCAGTCTCCTTTCCCCGATAATCTCCCCCCTGGGAATCCATACGCGGGGCAACATGTCTGCCATCAGCAAGCCCCAGGAAGGTGGGTCACATGGCAGCTTTATGTCCTTGTTATTCTTCGACTTGACCATCTACAGTATCTGATTCTGGGTCAGTTTCTTGGTTTCCAAAAGGTGTTCTCTCTCTTGCAGAAATTGAGGTGAGACCAGATATGAACCTGGAATCTGACCGAAAGCTTGACAAACTGGAATCCTTTCTTGGGCGCATTAACAGTAAAAGTAGGTATCATAGCCCGTTAGGTGGTGATCCCAGTGTTTGCCACTTTCTGACATGTCTAATGGCTCCCATTCCCCATGTTTAAGTGGCAGGCCTCCAGGAGACAACCCTAACCGTAACCGAGAAGGCCGTCAAGGAGGTGATGAAGCTGGACGATGAGATCTTCTCTAAGTTCTACAAATGCATGACTGATTTTCCCCGGATGAGTGGCAGGATAGAGATCGATGAAGACTTCGACGCCATCTTTGGCCCTCATACGCCCAAGTAGGCTGCGATTTCTATAAATCCTCTCGGTCAGCCCTCAGATGCGCGGAGAGCTCATTTTGCATTCTGACATGTCTACCTCTCCGCCTCCTCGGCTCTCCTGTCTGCTTCATCAGGCTAACATCTGCCATGGTGCAACACAAACGGGAGGTCCGGCCACTGCGGAAGGTGCAGGCATCACGCAACCCGCTGAAGATGCTAGCGGCACGTGAGGATATCCGGCAAGAGTACACAGAGCAGCGGCTCAACGTGGGCGTGCTGGAATCCAGGAGGATGAAGAGCGAGAAAAGTGAGCAGCCTCTTCCTCTGTCATTTTCATTTATTGCTACTCACACTTAGAGTTTAGAAGAGTGTTTTCCAATCCGATCCTCAAGGACCCACCGTCGGCCCATGTTTTTAGTTCCTCTTAGTCCCGATAGGGAGCAAAAACATGGACTGTCTGTGGGTCGCTGACGACCGAATTGGGAAACTCTGCTTTAGAACGTTAGCCTACTCAACCGTATGTCTGCGTGTACGTGTCTGTACCGCAGTGTCAAAATCCTCCAGCTACTCCGAGGCCGCTCTGGCGGGCCTGGCCAGCAAGGAGAGCTTCAGCAATGTCAGCCTGCGCAGTGTCAGCATCTCCGAGCAGATGTCCAACAACAGTGCCGTGCCCTACAAGACGCTCATGCTCATGCAGGTCAAAGGTAGCCCGACTCATCTTTTGGTCCGTTTCATGTCCATGCTTAGCAGCCTGCGACCCTGAGAACGATTCAGGGCAAGTAAACGCAGGACTCAAACTCTTTGCCCCAAAGTCCTTAACTACCATGCTATCTGCTGCTCTCACCTGCTCCGATCCCATAGAACACGATGGCCGACCTTTACAATCTAATCAGGACTTCCTATCGTCATCACATTGATGTGAGAAACGTGTCAATTCCGAGCCAATTTCCATAGTGAGGAGCTGTTATACGACTCGAGGGTTTATAAGAAAAACATTGCATAAGTCCTGCCTCCTTAGGCGCAGTGACTTGCACAGACAGTGTCCGAACATCGACGTCAACGCTGGCCTAGATATGTGGAATTGAGGGCAGGCTAGGGGAAGCTTGAGACAGATATTTAGTGGTCCTTTGGCCACATATAAGGCATCTGCTGCAGTTGAGGTTTCGGTGGAGACTATTCTAGGGGTTTCACTTTATGACGTTTTTCTGCTCCCCTTTCTATGGTTCTTTGTTAGTAGGAGATGTTAACTGGATACCGTATAAGTAACCATAGATGCTGAAAAAAAGTAACCGCTATCATTTTCTTGGCTTGTTCTCCTTAATGAAGATATTTTATTTTATGAAGAAAGAACTTCACGGCTCTACTGAGCAATCCATGTCACTGGATAGAATATCTCAACTAGATAGGGTCACTAGATAGAGTTTCTAGAGTATGGGTCTCCAGCTCCAGTCCTGGAGAGCTACTGTCCAGTAGGTTTTCTATCTATCTGGCTCCTGATGAGCCACACCTGTTATGAGGTAAATACCAGGAACAGATGTGGCTCATCAGAAGCCAGGAAGAATAAATCCTTTTGGATAGTAATTATTCAGGACCGGATTTGGAGACTGTTCTAGAGTCACTAGATAGAGTTTCTCAACACAGTGTTCCGGGACCCCCCGACATTTTTGCTTCCTCTCACAGGTGTTCATGATCATTTGCATTCTTGATTATTTGGTTCAGGTGTGTTCAGGTGCTGACATTTGACAAAGATTGTATCTAGCTGCCTTTTATGTCAGTCAGGCAGAGAGCATGAGGTAGAGAAACGTAGCCATCTTTGTTGTTTGCAAAAACCTTTAAGCAGAATGACTTAACAAGCTTACAGTTTTGTATTTCGCCCACTTATAGAACTGGATACCATAAAGGTTGTCCTCAAAGTCCCGGTCGCCCTACTGAGGTCTGTCCTTCTCTTGATGAACGGAAACCTGACCGGACTCTGTTCTCTGTGTCCAGGCCGGAGGCACGTGCAGACGCGGCTGGTGGAGCCGAGGTCCTCCTCTCTGAACAGCGGCGACTGCTTCTTGCTAGTGACGCCCCAGAACTGCTTCCTGTGGATCGGAGAATTCGCCAACGTCATCGAGAAGGCCAAGGTGAGTCAGGAGCCGGAGCGGCTCGCAACGAGGCGACGGGAGGTCGCCGGCCTCACCCTTTGATGCTAATGCGATTTTCCGCATGGACGCTCGTGCTAATTGCGCTCCCTGGTCTGCACTGCTGGAGCACAGGTCGATATAAATGCTGAACTTTCCAGACGGCCAGATGCTGATTCCATCCAGTGGTTTTAAGTTGCATATTGGAAAAAGCAGAGAATCATCTCCATCTGTTTCTTTTTTCTTTTTTTTTTTACATAAGAACATAAGAAATTTACAAACGAGAGGAGGCCATTCGGCCCATCAAGCTCGTTTGGGGAGAACTTAACTAATAGCTCAGAGTTGTTAAAATCTTATCTAGCTCTGATTTAAAGGAACCCTGTTCCAGAAGGTCTTCCAGTGCCCCATAAACCTGAACCCCTCTTTCCTTTTCCTTTTCTTTTTGAAGGATTGTTCTAAGCGTTAGTGTTGGCCTCTTGCATTTACAGAGGTTGCAGAACACCTTACATGTTGCTCTGGACCAGGGTTCTTCAAATCTGGACCTCGATTCCAAATCCGGGCCGTGTTTTCAGTTCTCCCAGGTAGTTAGTTTAATAATGACTGATTCTGATTGGCCAGAGGCTTCACACCTGGCTCACAGGTAAAGGAAGGACGGAAAACCAGCAGTGGACCTCGAGGACCGTGATTTGAAAAATAGGGGTCTAGACCTTTATTTCTTCTGCATTTTGACTAACGATTGCTTGTTGATCAGGGCAGGACTGTGACATCTCTCACCAGCTCCTCTTGCAGCAGGAGTACTAGACATACTTCCCTGTGGAATGTTCTAGAATTTTATCTATAAAAGTAAACATATGACTTCCTGTAAAAAGTCACAGGACACCTCAACATACCTGGCCATAAAGGGTAAAAAATAGGGTACTATTAACTTTATTATGAGCCTTTAGCAGTAAGGCACAATGCCCTGAATCACTCTGAAAGTTATTTCAGCACACATGTCTTTTCTTGGAATGTTTTATCCATTTCTCATGCCGTTTAGTGCATGTGCTATATGCTAGAGCAGTATTTCTGCATTTTTCATTTTTTGCACTTTTTTTTTAAATATTGCTCCTCAGGCTGCTGAACTGGCCATGTCCATCCAGACCAAGCATGACCTGGGCTGCCGAGCAGGCCAAGTGCAGACCATGGAGGAGAACGCTGAGACCCAGACGCAAGTGGTCAACGAGTTCTGGAACATTCTCGGGGGACAGGGCAGTTACCAACGTAAGAGGGACCCTGAGTCACGGCTGTGTGTGTGTGTGTGTGTGTGTGTGTGTGTGTATGTGTGAGTTTGTGTTTCTGCACATATTTTCATCAGGATTATTGTATTTTTATTTTTAGGGAAATATTCACACAAGACCAAACATCACTTTTCAGTCTATTCTACTAGTTTTATTAGTTTTGTAGTTGATTGATTAAAAGTTGAAATCTCTACAAAGAATACATATAAAACAAAGGGCCGTGTCTGTGTCTTTCTGTGTGCGTTTGGCCATGTCTGTGTCTTTCTGTGTGCATTTGGCCGTGTGTATGTCTTTCTCTGTGCGTTTGGCCATGTCTGTGTCTTTCTCTGTGCGTTTGGCCATGTCTGTGTCTTTCTCTGTGCGTTTGGCCATGTCTGTGTCTTTCT